TATATATATGTATATGTAAAGAGGTAAATATATGTAAAAGTCATCACTGTGAGCAAAACCCTCCGGCTTCTAACTGTTTGGAATACTCTGTTTCAAACCATTGAAAGCCATTGAAAGCTGACATTAGCCTGTGACAGATTTCTTTAAATGGTCATCTGCACGCTGCTGCAAATATTTACATGACATCCATGGCTACATGGAGCTACATGCTAATGCCAGGGAAAGATGTGATCTTGGTTGCTGATGTTGTTAACTTCTCTTCAATTTTGGATTACATTTCTGCTGAAACATTGTCAGGTTGTGATGATTTTGGTTTAGCAGCTTTTACTAATGATATAAAATATAAAAAGCTTTAGTGTTAAGTGCCACTATACTCCATCACAGTCAATTCCTGGCTACAATGATGATGCAGGGATGCTTAAATATGGAAGACTCAGGAACACTGACCAATTAGAGCAAAGTGGGCTTTTCGGGCTTGAAGAGACAGGCGCTAAAACAGAGCACATCTGCATGTTGCTTGGTTTCAGCCTGAACTTTTCTTCTTATCTGTTTCCCAAGATGTTAAATCATGTTTAAAGTACTTGATTACATGATTACATTACTGTATCTATCACGTTGCTCTATATGTTCCACAGATAAGAAGAACTCTCAGGGCATTGGTGAAGCGACGTCAGGGAAACAGAAGCAGACTCAGGATGCAAACTCGTCGGCTCTTACTTCCACCATCACCAAACTGCAACAGGAGAAAAAACAGCTGCAGAAAGAGAAGGACGAGCTGCTGGCCAAACTAGCTACCAAGATGGCCACTAAAGGTAAATGGTGCCATACTGATCACCTATATGTCAACTTGTATTGTCGCGTGAAGAATTATGAAGACCCCAGGAAGAATAGCTACTGCTATGCAAAAGCTAATGGGGATCTTAATAAAACAAACAAACAAACAAACAAACTTTTAACATCTGTGGTAGTGTGATTCTTACTGTATGAGAGTAAAGTGTGCATTTTTGCAATAATGATAATGTACTGTTCTGCTTCCTGGTTGCCGAATCTCTCTTTTTGCGTGTCATCAGCTCCTGAAGTGATCAAACCGACAGTGAAACCAACCAGAAAGGCCCCCATCGTCTGCAACCCAGACTGGCATCTTTTCAACAACAGCTGTTACTTCATCTCCAGAAACTCAAGGGATTGGCCGGAGAGCAAATCGTACTGCGAGAGCCAAGGAGGTTACCTGGCCATCATCCACACAGCTGAGGAGCAGGTACAGCATGACAAGCTGTATGATCGCGATATAATGATCACAGTGCTGTCATGTGTCCCAGGGAACGCCGTTAGATTTTGTGTCCATGGAAGTTTATTTGGTTTAATTTCTAACAGAAGAAAGTGTTTAATGAAAAAGGCCTGAACTTACACCCGGCGCAAGGTGGCTCACAGCGCAGTGCAACTGTCATTGCTAGTTTCAGACTGACACAGTGGTCATTTTCACAGCCAACACACACATAGTGTTTTGCACATCTGCGTGCCAACAGGTGTGTAAGTCTTAAAGTAAGGTGTGATCAGGCATGTTATCGGTGCATAGCTGTTTTGAGGTGACAAAAAGCAATTGCACCATTTAGCCAACAGAGACCTGGTCTAAAGTAAGAATGGTGCAATATTTCACAATGCAAGTATACACACAGGGATGCAAAGATGGATTGGGGGTTGGTGAAATAATACATCATTAATGAAGAAAGTATTAATTGTGAACAAAGCCAAGAGCAGAGCTGCTGTCCGACTCCACATTGAGAGAGACGTTGTGCGCATTTTCACCCGCTAAAATCTGTCTTTTTAATATGATTAGAAAGGTTTTATTCGGCATTCACACCCGGGTCAAATGACTCTGCAGTAGACAGGAGTATTTATTGCTTCTGGCTAATTTCGCCATTCCTCTTTCTACTGTTTACCTGTTCTCTAGTCCATTTGTGATGTAGAATGTGATGTACCAAAAAAAACCCACACACACAGAAATACATACTCCTCTGCTGCAGAGCTGGGGCCTGTATCACGAAGCGAGATCAACCTTTCCTGGGTTACCCAGACCTATCCTGGGTTGACTAACCCTAACAATGGCAATCAGGATAATCGGTATCACGACGCTGGATATCAACTTGGTAACTCAACCCACGGTTGCTTTATCAAGAGCAGTGAACGCGCACACAGCGTACCAATCACAATCATGAGAGAAGCGCAGCGTCACTGAGCGTCACTGACCGTCCTCACAGAGCGCCGTATGTGAGGGGAAAAAGTATTTCTCATGTGAGGATCAGAGATTAATTCTACTAAAATATGAGGAGGAGAAAAGCAACATTACAGAAAAGGCCAACACCGTGGCAGCTGCAGGAGGAGGAAACATGCGTGGCAACGCATAACGGGATGAATAATGTTTAGTTTTAGTTTAGATTAGTTTATTTGCACATAATGTTAAAAACAGACAGTATAACATTTACAAGATTAAAAAAAGAAAAGTGCCGGAAAGGTTAGAAGCCACTAAAAGCTTATCAAAGAAATTCACCTGTCAAAACATCAATGAAATCACATAATAGAGAAGAAAAAAAACGGGTGAGGAAAGAAGAAATAGAGGAGAGAGGGAAAAATCAAGACAAAACAAGGTAGCAAATAAAATGATGTGTAGGTTAAATTACTCATCACTGGTTCAAGTAGCTACAATACCTGTACCTGTACATCTGACACTGATCACACCCTTGAATCCCATGAAATCAATGCTGCGCAGATGAATTGCGTGTATTACAATTATCGTCTAACATCCTTGCGTCTGATAAATTGGTCTTCTTTGTCATAACGTTATATATGCTACAATAAAGCTTAAAGCTGACGCCACAATTAAATCATATCAACACCAAATTGATAGTCTGAATAAAATCATCCTGATATTGAGCTGTGTTAGAAATTAACAGCTGCACAAAAATATACCTAGTCTCCCTCTTTAAAAAACAAAAAGGAAAATCCCTCAAACACCATGAAGTGTAGACATGATAGGCTACTTTCCACACTTCCAGAAGCAAAGCTGTCAGTTAGGCCCATTATCTTTAACAGGGATCATTTCTTCCAACAAAACAAAATGTTGGCACTAATTAATGGTGCTATTAAGTGTCCGCAAATTATCAGTTTCTTTCTTATGACATTTCGACTTCTTTCCACTCCTTTTTGAACAGTCTTTTCATTGTCTGTTGTTGTTGCTTTGACTGGGCTGCATTTCTGTCAGCGGAGTCATTTTTTTCCGAACAGCTGATTGGCCAGTGGGTGGTGCTTTTTATAGGATCAGATTCAACCATGAACTTACCCTGCTCCGGAGCAGGATAGCCGTTCAGAGTAAGTTACCATGGTGATCTACCCCGATAAGAACTGAACCGGCTTCGTGAGACCGAAAACCCAGGGTTAACCCTGAAGTTACCTCGCTAAGACATTAATCCTGCTTCGTGATACAGGCCCCTGCTCTTGTCTACTGGCAACAGGAAATGACCACTAATTGTGGTGGAAAAGGGGCATCTGTCAAGTTTATAACCACAGTTTTTAGTTTTGTTGCTTAAATGTCCAAAGATATTTGCTGCATTGATGATACTGCTCTTACTGCAATACTCTTAGCAGAAAACCACTTGCTTCTCGAAATTGAACCTTCGCTAAGTCCCACCCCCGGACACAGACTGGCCAATCATAACATAGCATTGAGCTGGCCCAGACCAGGTTCTGACAACAATACAGCTGTCTGTTGACTCGAATGCAGTTGTTTCAAATTTCCTTCATTTGATCTGGTTTTGTGGATTTAGAGCTGAATGTTGCTAGAAAAAGATAAACATTTCTTCCCTGTTCCAAAACCAAAATCAAACCCTGAAAAGTGTAGGGTTAGCTAGCTAGCTACTGAAGATATGAATTTATGCACATGCTGCTTTTGCACATGCTGCTTTTGCTTTTTAATGATTATAACAGTGAAAAAAGACCTACTCTGCTGTACAGGAACCAGTGAAGGGAAGCAGGGAAACTCAAGCCAAACATCGTCCATCTGCACACATACTGCCATGCCACACAGCTGGTTCACTGTCGGTCAATTTGCTAAATCCGCTATGTAAATAACAGTGCGCCACATGCAGATGCACTTAGGTTTTAAAGGGAATGGGAGATGACACTGATTGGCTGAATTCATGTTTACGCCCAAACCCACACCTATGATTAATTGAATCACTAAATTGGGTTTGGGTACTGAATCCAATTACGTTGGTACTACTGATTCATAAAAAATCCATCAGTACCAGATTTTGGTACCTGAGAACGCATCTGGGTTTAGACAAGAGGCAGAAGTGTCATGGAGCACCCAGAAACCTAAAAGCCAGCAACAGAGCTCCAAGACAAGAAACAGAGTCCCATGAGCTATGGGTTTTAATTTCAGACAGGAGGCAGAGGCGTACTGGCTTCGCGCCACAATCCCGACAATGCCAATCTGCTGCAAAACTTATGGCATCTGGTCTATTTTGTTTTCTATAGTTTTATAGTAATAGTCTAATATTGCTGCTAGATGAGCTGAAACACATTGATACACAAGCAGACAGAAACACAGACACAGAAAATTAACTTTGTTTGATAAGAAAAGAGTTAACTTGCAAAGCTTATTTAAAAATTACACTTTTGTTATTACAAAGAAAGTAAAGTACCGCAAAAAAAGAAACTGGTACCGTATTACATGTAGTGTTAGCAGCTCAGATGGGAATGGTATGAAGCCCTAGACAAAATACACCAACTTTGACCCTTGTGCCTTAATTTGCACCCAGATTATGTGCTGTTTAACTAGTAAAAGTGGTTGGACACACGCTAAATGAACTTATCAGACAGAGCAGCTTAATTTTCTTCTAGTGAGTTCAGCTTTAACACAGTGTTTTTGCAACTGTGTCAGGGGAAGTGACTACATTTAGTGGACTTATTACCAAACTGGAAAGTTGCTTTAAACAGTGTGAAGTAATGGGTGTAACTACTTGAAGATAGTGGTCTGTTTGTTCCTCACAAGATGAGCCTCAACCATCACATTTAATGTTAAAAGATAAGGCTGTGTTATTCACAAAATATATGTGGGACTGAGTCAAAATAAACTTCAATGTGTGTGTTAATGGTAATAAAGTAAGATGTGACCTGGTGCAACAGTGTGGCTCACTGATGTTGTTGACAATAAGAGAAATGCACTAGAATACCACCCGCCTTATTCTTTACAAAAACACAATAACTGAACATAATAGGGGCTTTTGCAGAACCGCACAATATCAACATCCAGTCTGGTGTGACATCGGGATATTAATCAAACATCAAGCATTGAGCTGTTTCTCTACTGTACAAAAACAATCAGTGATGAATGTCTTCCCTGAATGTACTTGAACCTTTCTTTTTATGTGTGTGTGTGTGTGTGTGTGTGTGTGTGTTTCCTCCCAGACATTTCTATGGAATCTCCTACCCAGAGGTCACTGGAATGCCTACTGGTTTGGGATCACTGACGAGCACACGGAGGATCATTGGAAATGGGTGGATGGCACCCCACTGGTCGGAGGGTAGGTCCACTTCTTTCACAGCTCATCTGCCTCCTGACATGTTCAGAACCAAACTGCATTCACAGCCGTAGTTATGACTTACCACTCATATGCTATTAGAAATCGAAAACTTTGTGAACAAGTTAAACAACAATTTCTTTGTAAGCACTGTGCAGTTACTTGCACTCCACCCCCATTTTGTAGCGAAAACGCCTAAAATGACATACACAAATTAAAATGACTGTAGCCTCTGAACCGCTCTGACTACATGCATGCATGAGGTCTTGCCAGAAAGAAAACTCCCTGAAGTTTCTTGTGAAAGTGTCAGAAACACTGGTGATACAGAGACAGAGTAATGGGCCTCTGAAGTCATTAAAAAGTTGAAGATTTTGCCTAAAATAAAATAAAAAATGATTTTCAGGATGAATAACTGTCTGTGGCTTCATCTGAGCAGGTACATGACACTGTGGGGCTGTAGGCACACTATCAATGAACATTTGTTTCAAGTTTGAAGAAAATTGCTCAAAGTATGATCATTCTACAGTACTGTTTTTTCCATGAAAAGATCCAGGCGGAGCTCCAAATGACAAGAGCACTCACTCCGCTTCAAAACAGTACTATCAGTGATCAAACAACACTCAGCCAGCTTCAAACATTGTACCTTATTGAAATCAGGTGTGATTATGATAGCTGATGTTGTTTATGACAGAAACCATAAAATATCACCAAATAAAGCCATATGAAACGTGAAAGTTATGATCCCACTTTCTAGGCGGTATATCGCAGCCAAAATAGTGGTAGGAGTGAGACTCTTACCTTTTATAAAAGATCTAAGTCTCCACCAGAGTTTGCGCTAGACTTTTTCGTCCCCGGTCATTTTGACCGACAGGGTCGTAAAAATCCGGTCATAATCTATTTTTACCGGTCATTTTAATTTTCGTTTTTAAATGATAATAAAGATATTCAAAGACATTTAGTTTTCATTCGTTCGTTTTTAATTAATCCAACAAGCAAGTTATAAAGTGTGCATTAATAAGGACATGAACGAAAAGATGAACAGACATCCACACACCGCAGTGCTTCAGTTAGGCGTCTGGTCTACACGCGAGCCGCGAGCGCTTCTGTCAAGCTGGATAGAGCGGATTGTACCAAACAGGAAGTCAGACACAGAAAAGACGAGCGAATCTGGCCAATTTTCAAAATAAAATAACAACAGCATGCACTGAGGAACGTGAGGGAATACCATGTTTATAATTTAAAATAACACAACAGTGCATAATCGAACACATTTTTCAATACCCTAATCACTTCATTACAATTTTAATTTTGTGTCACTGAGCCTACAGACTACATAAATAAAATGGTCAGAACAATATGCCCTATTCATTCAGTGTTAATCCAACACGCTCAATACATGGACATGCAATGACAAATTGTCATTAACTTATTACGTTATAAAAAACGATTAAAATATGGACTTACCCATCTTTAAAATGACCTGTTGAAGTGAAAAAACGAGTACTGACGGGAACAGACAAGTGGAGTTGATGTTTAACCGGCGTGGAGAGCGCAGGAGAAATGCGCTGCCTGTGTGGACAGTCAAGCGCCTGCGAGTAAACTCGCAGGACTTCTGCGGCACTAACGCATCTGGTGTGTCCAGGCCATTATGTTAACAACGCTACATGAAGCAGATGAATGACTTTTTCTCTGCAGTGTGAAAACGGCAGCCACTTAAACCACTGACTGTGCACTCCGCCGCCAAGTGGGCAGGGGTGGTAATTGCAACTGGTCAAATGACCGACAGCCTTCAGATTTTCCGGTCATTGTTGTAAAAAACCGGTCAATGACCGAGAATATCTGGTTAACGCGACCCCTGGTCTCCACTCGCAGCTCCGCTTAAAATCGCAAGTAATCCTTTAACTTTTCCCCTTGAAAAATGGCATGACATGACTTGTCACCACTCATCGCGATTTTGGACTTTGTGTGTTTAGGCTGCTCTGGTGCGAAATCCTTAAGAAATAAAATAAACACAATGTCATTTTTGAAAAGTCGAGAGCTTCCTGAAACCGGCAATACCAAACATCGCATGGTTTGATGACGTAGTGCGCCTGGGAGATACCATTTAACAGAGGAGGGAGGGAGCGCGGACGTGGGCGTCCAAGCGGAGTTAGAGAGGTTAAAGGAACAGTGTAAGATTTGGTGGCATCTAGTGATGAGGATTACAGATTGCAACCAGGTAAAAAAATTCCCAATTAGAATTCCTTCAGTGTTCACTGTTCAGGAGGTTTTAACTGAAAGTCGAATTATCTGCAAGGTCTCCTCCTCTCCAAAACAAATGGACCACATGATTAAAACCAGTAAAAACACTGAATGAAACAGTTTCACGTTACAAATCAGTGTTTCTCACTGTTAGGCATGTGTGAAGGAATTTTGTCGTGATACAGCCTTTAGTTTGGTCAGTAAAGGAAGCGGATGATAGATATGCTTAAGGTAACAGTCAGGTCATCAGAAAGCCTAAAAGAGGCCTTGAAATCAGGCTACTTGACCTTTGTCATGAACGCATTCCATCTATTGACTCCCAATTGTGGCAGACGGAGTACAGCTGCCCAGATAAGGGTGCCTAGCTGACTCCGTTGCCATAGCTCCCAATGTTAAAAGTAGGAGAGATCACCCTATGCTCCAGGCTTAACAGACAAGAGTCTCTTTTAAAGCCCAGTTCAGACCAAAGATTTGTGATGAGACGAGTTGAAACATGCAGCTACTTGCCATGTGCCATTCTGCAACCTTCTAAAAACTTGCAGGTTCACAATGCAACTAGATGAGATGGTGTATCTCTCTGAGCAACAACTCTCCATACTGTTCTGATTTGCAGCTTTTCAGGCTTATTTTGTGGCTGAATATAATTTGTAGCTTCTTATAATATGAATGAGGATAGTGATAGTGAGATACTGGCAACGGTTGCATTTGTGGTAGTGATGAAACAGTGAAAAAAAATAAAGAAAATGAGCATCATAATAAATATGCCACAATATTATAAATAACCAGCGCCAATTAATCAGTCAGCTCAGACTGAACAGGTCACACCACTGCAACTTTTCTCTGTAACATTCTAAAATAGTTTCATCATGTTGTGAATCTTTGGCCTGCACTGGGCTGTAGACGTTCATTTTGTCAGAGACAGTCGAGGTGATTCAGAGCAAGCCAGGTCAGCGTGCTTGTTGTTTAAAGTTAGAAACCAATAGAAACTTCCCATAGTCATAGACAGGGACATAATAACCTTATTTGGGAATGTGGAGTAACTCCTCACAAGTGAGTACTGTTTGGGTTAAATGCAAGAACTGGGCAAGGACACCCTCAGAATCTTTGGACGGCATACACAGTGTTACGCTGTATGGTGAGCTGTGATTCTCCTCAGTCGAGTCTTTATTAAACACTGTGTGTGATCCTTCAAAGTCTCCTGAGGTCCTCTTCAGCGATTAAATCATCCGCTCTGAAACTCTTTAAACAGTATGTTGTAGATGGGCTGCTCGCCCAGCACCTGCTATGTGTGCTCACCACTTTTCTCTGATAACTTAAGATCCAAACATTCAGGAGCTTTTTGCTAGGGGCTGAATTATCCACAGAGGTCTCCTCCTCTCCAAAACAGATGGATCCAGTGATCAAAACCAGTAAACACACTAAATAAAGCAGTTTCATGTGAAAAAATCTGTATTTCTCCCACACTGCTCATTGTGGCGGGGCTGCTAACTACTGTGGCATTCGCAAAAATGCAAATGGTTCTATCTAGAGCCAGTGTTTCAATTGTTTGTTCTAAGCTACTGTAGAAACATGGTGGTGCAACATGGCGATCTCTGTAAACAAGGACCTGCTCCCTATGTAGATACAAATGACTTATTCTAAGGTAACAAAAACACAATGATTCTTATTTTTAGGTCATTATACACTAAAGAAAACATACTCATTATATTTTATTACATGTCCGCCAAGATGTCACCTTAAATCCTACACACTGGACCTTTAACGTGGTTTTGTCTGTATCATAAAATTCACCAAAGCTCTGTTTTAAAGTCAGCCATCCAACTTTCTCGGTGTTGTTTCGGCTGTCTGAAAACATGTCCAGAGTTCAGTCTGTTTTTACAGACTTGCCTCTTCGGTTAAGCCGTGACATTGAGCTCACAAAGGTCTAGGAGTCATGGGGAATTGTGTTCATTAGGGCCGCCCCCAACTAAGGATTTTCCATTCGACCAACAATGGTCATTTAGGGCCATTAGTCGCCTGCATGTTTGCGATATTAATTTAATTATTAATGATATCTCAAAATGATCCCAAATTTTGGATTACCTGCCCAACATGTTATTAACTAGCCTGTGTAAAAACCGCAGGTACCAGCCCTGGAAATTAGAGGCCGTACACATGCGCTTGGCACTACTCTTGAGCTCTTTCTGTGCGAGCTTTCAAGAACGTGGTGGCAGGTTGCATGTGAGGTTGCTAAGCAACCTTAACAAACATTGTATAGCCTATTTACATGAAATCCTGAATGCAGAGCTGATCTTCTTCCAGGCTCTGTTTTTAAGTGTGTAGACCTATCGACTGTGGGACCGATGTAAAGTCTGGGTGTCTGGGTAGTTTGCAAAACATAAAAAACATAAAACACACAAACAAATATAAAAACATACAATTAACACAGTAAGATAAAGTTGTTCCTCACTATTTAATATGAATTTGACCAGGTATGAAAAAACGAGACAGGACATGTTGTCTTGAAGGACATGAAAGATTAACACTCAAACAAATCGACTTAGCAGCTTTGATACAGTTAACAGTTCATTTCTGCCCAAACTGTGAGTTCGCTTCTCTGGCTCCAGACTGTCTCTGATACACACATACTTGGACAAACACCCACATGCAGATTGACTGACCACTGGACCGCCGTTGAACACTGACCTCTTGCATACCTTCAGACTTTGGCACAGGTTTTGGCCTGCACAGTGACGGTTATTGGCCTGGTTTACACTCAATGAATGAGAGTCATGTGGCCAAAGGGAAGGAAAAGGAGGGGTTGTAGAAGAGGCAATTGGACACTGTTAAGTGCAAACTTTAACCCAATACTTCCTGTTTCACTGCACCCTGTGGCACAGAATATTTTTTTGGAGAGAAGGAACCAAAAACAGAAGCACAGTTCCAAAGAAAGGTTTCTAGATTCCCTGAAAAAGTGTGCTTCTTCAAAACTATATTTGGTTTGAAACCAATGTGATTGTTATGTTTAGCCATTCTAACAGCAAGGGGTGCAAATGTCAGGCTGCCAGTATACGTAAGCAGATTGCATTTCCAATGTTGGATTGAGGGGAGGGACTGTGTGCGACTGTTTCTTACTGAAAATTTGACATTCACACCATGATTGGTCAGATGTGTAGAGGAAGAGAAGGCAGCCAGAATTTGACCTTCTTTCTCAGCTCTCTCTTTTCATTCTTGACACAACTATTTCTTTTTTTTTTAGATTTTATTTTGGGCGCTTCTTGCCTTCATTGATAGGACAGCTTTAGAATTACAAGAAAGCTGCTAAAGAGAGGAAGGATGACATGCAGCAAAGGCCCGTGGGTCAGGATCGAACCCAGGCCGCTGCAAAGGTCCAGCCTATATGTGGCGCACATTCTACTAGGTGAGCTAGAGGTCGCCCTGACAACAGTTGCTTCTGTTGTTTTACAAGTGAATAGTGAATTCATTGATGTCATCGGTGACATCAATGGTGGTGTCCTGGAATGTGCTCCAGACTCTGATTGGCTCTAGCTCTTGCATCACATGGGGCATCAGTCGTAGTGTGTTTGCGTATCTTCACTAAACGAGATGCCTGCATGGTTGCCTTTTTTGAACACGCCAGCAACTTTGCTCTGCAGTAGACTCTGAACAGCATATAGCCATATAGCCACAGACCACGGCTAATAGGATGCTAGTTCGGCAGAAAGATCCATGCAATTAAGACCGCAGATGGTGTTTTACTTCTCCACGATTGCTATGGTGCTTACAATGTAGATGCAGAGGTGTACACAGAAGTGGTCTTGCTGGTCCATGTGGTTGGGATTGTAGCTGTTGCCTGTCTTCTCCATCTTTTTCTTGATGTTTACTGATGTTTACATTTGAAACCTCAGCCTGGCTAACTTGCAGAGTCACAGGAGAGGAGAGATTAAACACTGGTGAGCTGATTTCCTCATTTCAATAGGAGACCTGCAGCCACACGCAACCACCTTTCAACACAGCCCACAAAAAGCACCAGAAGCACATGTCTGTTATATTCACTGTAAAATGAATATTTGGGGGTTTTGGACTGTTGAGAAAGTTGAAGACATCACTTTGGGGCCTGGTAAATTAGATTGTGTTTTTAGCTGTGACCAGCAGCTCTATAGGTTGCTCTGTCAATCCACAAAAATTTCCCCACCCCTTGGCGACCACATTTTTTGCCCTAGGAGGCTGAAATATGTCATGGAGGTCAAGTGCATATGTGTGAAGGTGCATGTATGTGTTCATGCCAATTATCTACAAAAGGAGGGAGGGGATTACGATTTTGTGGAAAGATTGGCCATAAGACAAAGGACAACTGATTTAGGCTACTGTTCATGCAAAATGGGGGGGGGGGGGGGGGGGGGGGGGGGGGGGGGGGGGGGGGGGGGGGGGGTAGTTGGAATGGCCTGTAGCAATGAGTCTACATCTACATCCTTTCTCATGAACCAGCTGTCATTTTAAGAGTCATCATTGCACTGGTGACAAGTGTTTGGAATGACATGCATGCAAACACGTATCAGCAGCTATTGCAAATTGGTGCTTGTTTACACTTTTATTGACAATAATTTTGGTAATAAATCTATTATCTACACTATTTGTGTCATTCAAATGTAACAGTTTAAGGGAAAGAGTCACTACAGAGTTAAAGGTTCTACATCTTCCAGATGTGAGATAACAGCTGGAGGGAAGCCAGGATCATGTTCGCCTGCTCTTGCTGCAAACAGAAGCTCTGAGCACTGTTATGTAAGTGCTGTTAACCTGCTGCAGGGCGCTGCACCACAGGCGACCCTGACCACTGATCTCTGATGAAAAACAAAAATGTTAGAGCCAAAGAAGGAACTGTGTGGAAACATACGTTTTACTTAGAAATGCAAAGACATCGTCATCTTCCGGTTTGTCATGATATTGTATTCTCAGTTTTTTTCCATCTTGTGCCAACTCAACAGATTTTCTAAAAACCACCTGATTTCTCTTCCTCATTTGGAAAATGACTAACCTTTTATCATTCCTCTTTTGCCCCCTACATTCCTTCCCTTCCTATTTTCCTGCTGAGATGTTTCTTTTTTCCCCTCACATTGTTCTGGCTCTGCTCTGCTCACATGTCGCTGGGTGATTTGACATGTATTGTTATATTTAACCTTTATCCTAAAGCCTTTAACCACTTGTGTTTATTTCCAGACTGCTTTTCTGGGCAGAAGTTAGTGGAATTATTGTTTTGTTTGTTTCACTGGCACTGCCTGGAAGTGAACTCTGTTCTCCAACATGAAAGCTGAGCCAGCACCCAGACACTACATCCACTGACCCTAAGGGTGCTTTCACACCTGCACTGTTTGGTTCGGTTCAATCGAACTCAAGTTTGTTTGCCCCCTAAGTGTGCTTTGTTGGGCAGGTGTGAATACAGCAATTGCAACCCAGTGCACACCAAAAACAACCGGACCGAGACCTTCTTGAAGAGGTGGTCTTGGTCTGGTTACAAACAAACTTGCATTACACATTGTTTGGGTGTAACAGTCCCAGAGGTAGTGATGGCCAAATGAAGCCTCATGAAGCACTTTTTTTTTATGAGCCCACTAGATGGTGCTTTTTGTTCAACAAAAGGTTGAAAGCACCACTGAATTGCCATTCTTTGAGCCTCTCTCGTTAAACCAAGAGCGCAATCTAGTGGGCTCAAAAAATAAAGAAAATGCTTAGTGAGGCTTCATTTGGCCATCACTACCCAGAAGAATATAAATGTGTGCCCCCTCCTGTACTGCCTTAATATGCACATTTGGCACATACAATGCAACAAAACATTGTTAGTTGGAAGCGTGCTTCGTTTTCAAACTGTATGGTTTGCCTAAAATAAACAATGCAAGCAATATAGTACATGATGACCAGTGCTAAAATCAGACCACATAGTTGTCCCTCCATTGTGACATTAGGATGTAAATCATGAGCTGCCTAATGATCCCATGATCAAAACAATACGTAAGTGTTTATGTTTATGGATGACTATGTTCACCAAAGTGACTTTTTTTTCTCTCTATTTCCCTCTACTAACTGTAGTTTTTGGGAGGTCGGCGAACCCAACAATCACATTGACGAGGACTGTGGCTACATTGTGAAAACAGAGGTGTTGGAGCGAGTGGCAATTCGGAGCTGGTATGATGCCCCCTGCACCATGTACTGGCCCTTCATCTGTGAGAAGGAGATGGGTCCTGGAGCCAGCACAGCCATACCACACTGAGACTGAGTCTGCACTGCTATGATCGACTGAGGAAAACCAGTGGAGCAAGGTCACCAGTCAGTCGTTTGTCAGCTGCGTCTATGAACAACTGTTTTTTCTCTATTTTACCAAAACACCTGGGACTGAGAAGGCTGATCTTTTGCAAGTATAATCCCATCTCACATTTAGATTAATACGTTACTGAGATCTGACTCAATTCTGTCAGATATAAGAGATAAATGCATCGTTCATCATTCACCATATTCGTGGTATTTTTCCCTTTTCTCATTGACGACAAGCATAGGTGGTCGGCTCTGTGCAGAACACTGGACAAGGTTACTAATGTTTAATAAAATGAGTTTACAGTAGAAAATTAAAGCAGCAGCAGTAATTGTACTTTTATTTTTATAACTTCTTCATACTAATTTCAGCCTTTAGATAGTGATTATTTTCTTGACCACTGATCTTGTATTGAACATCAGCATTTGAAGACACGTTTATGAGATTATTATTAATTTTTATCTGTTGAGAAATACAACAAATAAACAAATATAAATTGAATAAAGGGAAACAAAAAACATTAAAACATTAAAACATTAAATCTCACATCACTTCAGGTAATAATATCCAGTTATGATTGAAACTTTTTAATAATAACTGTAAAAATAAGACAACACAGTCTTGAAGTTACAACAGTATATCAGGGCCATTGTAAGTACATGACAGAAATAACTGATCTAGGAGGAATATTTGAAAAAAACTCAGAATTTCCAGGATTAATGTCACAAATTTGTGAGATAAAATGTGTTCAGAATGGTGAATTTAAAAGAAAAGATTCACAAATTTAGTTAAAAAACTTGACTATTCTCTGAGATTATTAAGTCATAAATTTGCAAGAAACAAAACCCAGCAATTTTCTGAGAATAAAGTTGCAAATTTACGTGAAAAAAACTTGGAAAAATAGTGATGAATTTACTTTAGTAACCCAAAACATACATTGAATCCATATTGGTGTAACAAGGGTTTCCCATGAAAGATTTCTAGAAAATAGTATTACAAAACGAAAATGGCATATTGATTAACTGAATGCATGAATTAGTGCACAGGTTAAATAAACATATGGTTTTTTAAAAGTTATATGTATTGATTGATTGTTTGGGTATTGCAGTTTGCTAGCGTTTGATGTTTCACAGCGGGGATGTTAGGTTGTGCACTTCATCGTGCATTTGTGTAAAGGAAATATTGTGCACTGATTCATGACCCAATAGGAGCAAAGTATTTGTTCATTGAAGGGTATAATGTAAGACTCATGTTGACCTAATAAATACCAATAAGTACAGCTATTATTAGTGTTCCATACTTTTTTCTTCGAGAATTTATGATATGATCAGAGAATATCTGAGTTTTTATCTCATAAAAATACGACTTAAATCTCAGAAATTCTGAGGTGTTTTTTTTTTTTTTTTTTTTATCTGAATATTACCTATAATGGCCCTAATACACAGTTGTAAACATTTAAAGCAGCAGTTTTCAAACACACCAAAGGGCAAGCCAAAATCTCAAGGCACATCTGTGTTTATATCTGTGCACAATAGCTTCTATTTCATGTGTTATCATTCTTATCACAACATAAGACAATAAATAGCTTTTTATAGGCCATAATTTGTGGTTATCACACCTAGATTGGCACCACGGAACACTATTTGAGAACCACTGATTTAAAGTATTAAAGAAGAAATGCTGAGTTTGTGGCCTTAGAGGAAGACTGAAGGCAGTACTGCTGTCTTCTCTGCATGTTTTTTAGGTAAAAACTAAATTTCTGTTTTGATTCATAGTTTATATTCTCCTGAAAAAGACACCGAAGACAAACGATTTTGAAGTAAATATTGAAATACATTATCTATCATGAAGTATCAGGAGTATGAGATTATAATTTAAATGTTCCGCTGATAGTAAAATCAAATGTAATAGATTGTATCTTTGTGCAGTAAGTCTCTGTGCTGAGCTGGACATCAGTAGGTAAATCCTCAGAGGAGAACGGTGGTGCTTCTACAGCTTTATGTTACCAGAGGTGTTACATAGTTGTGGTGTTACATGCATGTGTATCTGTGCCTTATACCAGTGGTTCCCAACTGGTGGGTTGCGGTCCAAAAGTGGGTCACAGGTCCATTCTGAATGGACCACAAGTGACTCACAAATGTGTCAAGTTTGTAAAAAACACACTTAAATTTTAAGTACAGTGAATTTCCAGCACAGAGCTTTAATTTTGAAGTGCCATTTCCTGCTGTAGATTTACTAATGGACAGCTACTTGACAGAGACAGCAAACTAGCTCCCAGACATGGCAAAACACAAGTATGATGCTGAGTGTATTACACTGTGTGGACTGTTGACTAATGACTAAGAAGACCCAGGGCTGGACCAGTTGGGAACCACTGCCTTATACCACATTAATAATACCACATTTTTACATGATTGCTGTTTTTGTTGTTGTTTCTTTGTTTTATAGATCAGGGATTCAAGATAACTCTTAATGCTCTCATTGATTATGTTACATGTGAAATGGGCTTTTTAGCAATGAATCGTGTTCATGATAGATATTAGATTTATAGTAACTCTCCATAACACAGGTGTTGTTATATTGTGTGATGTATTGTGTTTACTTCAGTGAGAGTGATCAATTTGATGCACTTTTAAATGTCATTTAGATATTTTCATACTTTAAAAAAAAAAGCAACATAAATCAAGTATTTGAAATTACACAGGAACATGTCCTTTAGATGTAAATAGATAATAAAGATAACTGATTTATATTCTAATGTCTCACTTCATTGGTCCCACTACTCTTTACATCTCATTTTTTTCTCAAGTTTTTTTTATCCACTTAATTTTTCTTTAATAAAAATTATTAATAATAATGTTTATGGGATAAAAATGTTTATCTTTTACTATTTTTTAACTGATATTATAACTACTATTATTACTATAATTACATAAGGCCACAACTACATAACTACATCACAAAGCCTACTAAATAATGGAGAAGCTTCCCCAGCTCCTTACGCCTTACCTGCTCATTGGGGGAGATAGGCGAGTTATCTCACATTATATGAACCCAGAAACCAGCTGTATCATTGTTTCAGAATGACAACAGCTCTCTGGTGCCAACTCAACTATCACTACATTACTGAGAGTGGATGTTGAGAGAAAGAACATAAAATCAGCAGGAGGAGAGCTAGTTAAGTTAGCTGTTAGCAGTTAGCAGCTAATTATAGTTACCTCTGAACAGCTGGTGGCTGCAGTGAGCAACTTGCAGAGGTTGAATGGATTTACAATGTGAAGCGTTCAAGTGCTACTCAGTAAAAATGAGTACTGGGCGAAGCTAAATTTTAACATTCTCATGATGTGTTCAAAGTAATGTTATAGCTTTTGGTGAGAAACTGGAATAACTCCAGCTGTTTGAAAGAGAAATGTGTTAATGTTTTCACAGCACTATAAAATTGATAGAGCGGGAATTATGATGTATCATATATAATAAAAGGGCTTTTTGCATATTTTTAAAGATGTTTTTCATGTGAAAGAAGGTCATGTTAAAGGTTGTTTCATAAATGTGTATTATTGAATTAGAGCTCATTCAAATGTAGTGCAATGAAGGACTCAATGGGCCCTATTTAGATGGTCTAAAGTGGACGGCGGAGGGCGCATAATCCATGTTGCAAGTGTCATTGCTATTTAGATGCAGGCGCAGTTGTCATTTTCACGCCCTGCGCCCTCATCGTCTAACTAGCAAATGAACTTGCGCTTCTCTGGGTGTGTTGGTCTAAAAATGAGGAGTGGTCAGGCGCAGTCATGGCGCGTTGCTAGTTAGATGACGTAAAAAGCAAATGCGCCAGTGACCAACAAAAACCTGGTCTAAAGTCAACGGCGCAGTATTTC